GTAAACACCACCTGCAATTGGAACCCACATTGACAGCTCGTCCAACTGCATGGCCTCCATGTCATCATCAAGAAGGAAGTATTTTTACATTGAGTTTATCTATATTTCTCTCTGTTGGTTCCCTGCCTTTTAACTACTATGTTGCAGTCCCTGTAATCTCACTTGTTTCATTTTAGTCCCTAATGTTTGTTCTAGCACCATTTACCTTTTTCTTCTCAATAATTATGATACCTCTTTCATCACTTAATAACATAGAATATTTTTTTTTTTTGCACAGCAAAGAAGATAAATATTATCAAACTGAGTACAAGGGGTACTCAACCCATAAAGTTATACAAAGCAACAGTAATCCAATGTTAGTTCCCTCTTTTAGATCATTTTTCAGTTAATCCCTCCCCTATTGCTAGACAAACATGCTGCAGGATTAATTAACCAATCTGAAAGAGAAAAGTAACACCTGGGTTTTTTTGCTTTAATCCATGCGAATGATCTCAGTTGAATAAGATCTAGTAGCTGGCCCATATGAATTTCTGAGTCTTGGAAAATTTTGCAATTTCTAGCCATCCATATTGTCCAAATGACAGAATTCCAGATGCAATCCCAACCTTCTGCTATGTGTGGGTCTTTGATCTCATTCCCGAAATGGACAAAAGTGTTGCAGCAGTCTTCCTTTAATGCCACCGTGGTCCCCCACCATCTACTGCAAGCTTTCCAAAGCCATTTGCTTAATTTGCAATTTAGGAATAAATGGGTGGCGTCCTCATACTCCTCGCATATGCTACATTTTGCCTCTTCCATGTTCTTGATGACTCCTCTGCTATGAAGATTAACTTTAGTAGGGATTCTGTCAAGAATTACTCTCCAATTGAAGGCTGCTATCTTGCTCGGGAGCATGGGATTCCATATTCTCTTTGACATTTTTGCCTCCATCGATCCCGTTCTTTCTTCTGTCAACTTCAAGTAAGCCAATTTTGTTGAGTAGTGACCATCGCTGCTGTGAATCCATTGCCATTTGTCAGGGCGTCCAGGAGTGATCTTCACTTTGTCAATTATCCCCTGTAGTTTCATAGACTCCTCTTTTTCCCACTCAAACAAGGTTCTTCTCCATGAAAGATTCCATTGCCATGTACCATCTTGAGTATTACCCATTTGGTAACATTCTTTGTCTTTTCCTGTTGACAAAAGGTATGTACCATCTTGAGTATTACCCATTTGGTAACATTCTTTGTCTTTTCCTGTTGACAAAAGGTATAGCCTAGGAAAAATGTTAGCAAGACAACCCTCCCCACACCAATCATCCCACTAAAAACACACTCTTTTGCCTTCTCCTATCTTTAATCTAAAACCCTCTTCAAGCCATCCTACATTTTCTCCATCTCTATTATTGAGGTTGCACACGTCCCTCCACCATAGAGAACCCATTCCTCTACCGTCTCTTACCCAATCCATCCAATTACCTCTTCCCTCGCTATATTTTCCTTCAATCACCCTTCTCCACAACCCCTCATCCTTGGATGCAAGACGTCCCCACCATTTACCCATGAGTGCTAAATTAAATCTCTTCATGTCCTTCACCCCTAGGCCGCCCCACTCTTTCTTTTTACAAACCCTCTCCCAACTCACCCAATTTATTTTCCTACCCTCCCCTTCTCCCCCCCATAAAAAATTCCTGCGCATTTTATCAATGGAGTTGACAATACCTGAGGGGATTTTGTAAATCGACATCAAGAAAACGGGCAGACTAGACAGTACAGAATTAATGAGCATGATCCGGACTCCGATAGAGAGATGTTTCCCTTTCCAGGTAGATAGCTTCTTTCTAAATGATCTTAACAGGGGCTGCCACATTGCTAATCTTCTATGATTCCCTCCAACCGGGACTCCCAAGTATTTGAATGGAAATTTTCCTTCTTTGCAGCATAAAATGCAAGCCATTCTGACTTTCCAATCAGAATCCACCTCCACTCCCAACAGTTGACTCTTCCCGAAGTTGATTTTCAATCCTGACGCCATTTCAAAGATTCTCATGATGCTTTTAACCACCCTTATGTTGTCTTCGGTTGCCTCTCCGAAGAAGATAGTATCGTCTGCAAATTGTAGGTGGGACACCATTGTTGCTCCATTGCCAATCATCACTCCCTTGTACAACTCTTTCTCAACCGCAGTAGACATTAGGCCATTAAGACCTTCCGCCACAATTAGGAACAAGAAAGGGGATAGCGGGTCACCTTGTCTTATTCCTTTGCCTACGGGGAATTGTCTTGTTGGGCTTCCGTTGATGAGGACTGAGATCATACTTGATCGTAGGCATTCTTGGATCCATCCCCTCCAAATGACATTAAAACCCATTCTGGACAGCATGTAATCAATGAATTCCCAACACACCTTGTCAAAAGCTTTTTCGAAATCAGCTTTGAATAGAAAGCTTTCCATCTTTTTCTTTTTCGCCTCATCTATTACCTCATTTGCTATGACAACTCCATCCATCAGTTGCCTCCCTTCAATGAAGGCCATTTGCTGTTCCCCAATCACCCTGTCCAGCACTTGTCGAAGGCGGTTTGCTAACAGTTTTGCTACAATCTTGTACATGACTCCGATAAGAGAAATGGGTCTGAACTCTTCAATTCTTTGAGGGTTCTCAACTTTTGGTATCAACACAATGAATGAGGAGTTTGATCCTTTAACCAGTCTACCCTGCTCATGGAATTCCTGGATAAACCCAACTACATCTGATTTTAAATCCTCCCACATGGTTTGATGAATTTAAAATTGAAGCCATCCGGTCTTGGTGATTTTGTGGAGTCACAATCCCACACTGCACTCTTAATTTCCTCTTCATTGAACAGAGCTGTTAAAAGGGTATTGTCTGCCTCGGAGATTTGTTTGAATTTAATGCCGTCGAGTTTTGGTCTTTGCCATTTTTCTTCTGCAAACAACTCTTCAAAATACTGAGCAACCTGGTCCCTTATTTCAGTCACTCCAATACACCTTCTGCCCTTAATCTGGACGCTATTAATTTCATTTTTTTTCCATCTGATCTTCACACATCTATGGAAAAATTTGGTGTTGGCGTCTCCTTCTTTAAGCCATATCTTCCTTGACTTTTGTTGCCACATGCTCTCTTTAATTTTTAGATTATCCCATAGTTGAAGAAAGCAGCGTCTTCTTCTATCGACCTCCTCTGTAGACAGATGGGAATTCTCACCTTTGCTGTCCAGTGCAGCTATCTCCATTTCTGCTTCATTTATTTTTTTGTCCACTTCTGGCAAAGAGTTACCACTCCATTCCTTTAAAGCTTTCTTTGTTATCTTTAGTTTCTCTTTAAGCCTATATCCCTTCCATCCCTTAATCTCAGCTGTATTCCACACCTTTCGGATCATCTCCATACACCCTGGCTGATCCAACCAAGCATCGAAGAACTTAAATGGTTTGGGCCCCCAATCAACCTTCTCTTCCTTAATTAATATGGGGCAGTGGTCAGACACTGTTCTCTTTAACCCCCACTGCCTTAAGTCACCCCATTTCATAAGCCAATCTTCCAAGAATAAAAATCTGTCAATCCTGCTCATGTATAATCCATTGGAGTTGAGCCAGGTATACTTCCTCCCTGTCAATGGCAGATCCACTAACCCTGCATCATGGATGAAACTGTCGAATTCCTCCATTTCTTTGGATACCCCATTACTTCCTGCTCTCTCCTCCACACTTCTAACCGCATTAAAGTCTCCCCCCAAACACCAAATCCCTTTCCTGCTATTAATCAGATTCAATAAATCCTCCCAAAGTGCCCTTTTGCCCGCCAGAGAACAGGGTGAGTAAACATTAACTATATTCACAGGAGTTTTATCCTCTCCCCAGAATCCAAACACCCCTATATAGTTATCTCCCTCCAATAACTCTTTTTTTTCGAACAATTTTGAACTCCAAATACAGAGAAGACCTCCAGACATGCCTTTTGACGGTTTGTAAATCCATTCAAAATCCTCTGAACCCCATATTCTTTTGCATAAGCTCCTATCAATAAACTCTTTTTTTGTTTCTTGAATAGATAAAAACTCCACCCGTTCCTTTCTAATGGTCTCCCTGATTTGCCTTTTTTTTCCAACCCCACCAAGCCCCCTGATATTAAAGGAGAGCAAAATCATTAACAGAATTTTTTACCTTCTCTGCGTCACCCGCATCTTGGTTCACCAAGCTTGCCTTTGATTGTCTATCTCTGTTCTCCATTTCCTCTAACCGCCTCATGATCTCTTCCTCATTCTCAGCCGTGACCCCTAGTTGCTTTGCCAACTCCCAGATCTCCTTTGCGAGATGATTTCTCATTTGCTTTTGTAATAATTTGTTGCAATTCTGGATCCCACTATCCCCAATTGAGTCATCTGCAATTTCGTGATTTGGGCTTGCAATAAACTCTGGTTCTATTCTCTCCCCCCTTTGCATCTTGCTGATATTTCCTCTTCCTCCTGTCCTCTGTTTTCCTCTATCGGGGACTGCAGATTTTCGGTACACTGTGCTACACAAACTGATTTTCTTCTTTTTCTTCTTTGGTTTTGTCTCCAATCTGTCTTCCATCCATTTCTGCAATCTAGCCTCGTCGATCTCATGCCCTTTCCAGAAAAGATCTATTTCTTCATCATCGCTGCTTCCGGACTTCGACCGATGTGTTCTGGAAATAATTTTGCTCTTTCCATGTTTTGGGTTTCTAGCTGGAGCTTTAATGGTCGGCTGGCCCATGTTTGAAGACAACTCATACTCTGGGCTTTCACCAACCATGATGGGCTTACTCTGCTGCTTTAAATTGGCCTGCTCGCACTGGCCCATTAGAGTTTCTTTTGCTTTCTCAGTCACGCCTACCTCTGCAGCTTTCCCGTGTTTTTGCATCAGCTTCTCTGATCCTACGCAAGCCTCCTCTTCATTCAAATTTTGAATTTGATCACTAATGACAATCCCCCCTTGTGCTGTCATTTCCTTCTGCTGTTCACCTTTATTTTTAACTTTACCGTTGAACATCACACCCCCATTTGCCACGTCATTTTCTGCATTTTCTGTTTCACCATCTTCTTCGTTTGGCTGTTCTTCCTCTGGTAAAGCCTCCTGGATTTCTTCTTCCTCTTCACTGTCAATAGACCATGACTCGGGCTCTTCAGAATCACTCTGGAAGTTTGCCATAAAGTCTTCTTTCAAGGAGAAAAAATTATTTGTGAATTCTTCCTCAGAGAATTTGATGTTGAACAGAGACCCATTAATTTTAACTTGTCTCGTGATTGATATGGAATTCATGCTCGGGGTCGAAATCAAAAATCTCGCAATATCAAACCTTCTTTTTTTGCTTGTGCTGTCGTCTAAGCAAATAAATTTCCCCCAAGGCCAACTCATTTTTTCAAAAAAATCTGATTTCCATGCGTTGAGTGGAACCCCCTGACATCTAATCCATGCGAATCTCTCTGTAGCGACCATATCTGGAGTCCACAGTTTAACACTTTCGAACCATTGAGCTAGCCACTCAGGAGCCAACTCCACCAAATCCTTCAACTCTTCTTTGTCATCACTGTCGAGTAACACCAATTTGCCTCCCATTGCTCTGAGGCGGCACCAAAAGTATCCTTCCATGTAGAATTTTTCCTGTAAGTTCCGGACCATTTCGACAGAGTGAGCGATCCCCACATAGCAACCTTCAAGCCATTTCTCATCTTCTGAGTTGGTGTTGAATTCTATTCCGGACCAATTTTCTCCCAATCCTTTTTCTTTCCAGATTTTCCTGTTGACGTTGGAGCCATCCAGATGAGAACTTCTGCTGCTATTCTTCTCGGGCCAACTATGTTTGTTTTGCAGCAGTGGTCTTGTCTTCTCTTCTTTCTTTTCTTCTAGTTGACCCTTTACTACCTCCGCATAGCTTCTGTTCTGCGATCTTAGGTGCGCTCCTTGAATGACTCTGAATTCCCCTCCCTGATTCTGATTCTGAGAATTTTCATAACGTGGGTAATTTACCCACAATTTTCGGTTTCCTACCCAAATTTGGTCCAGTTGCCTTTCCAGCTCCCTCTTGTCCTTCACATCCAAGAACCTTACAAAGCCGAACCTTCCTCCGTTCCTGCTTTTCCTGTTTGGACAGTAAATGTCAAACACTCTTCCATACTTCAAAAAAGTTCCCCACATATCTGCATAACACCATTCTTCTGGGAAGTTAGTGAAGAAATAAGGTGTGGCTTGTTTGAACAAGCCCCAGTTGAATTTCTCTCCTATCCTCTGCTTCTGTTGTTGATCCTGGGCATAGTCTGATCTCCTCTGATCCCCTGATTCGGTCCATCTCTGCTGTACTCTTCTGCTGGATCTTGCATGCTCAATACTCTGTACCGTCCTTCTTTCCCGGCCCCGGCGATCACCACCTCTCTCTCTCGCTCTACCTCTCTATCTCATGTTTTAATAACATAGAATATTAAAAATACTACATATTTTAAGAGTTTGGTTAGACTATAAGGAAGGTAATCATCTATATGTGGGCTGTAGCTAATAATTTTTTGTTCATAGATAAAATATTGCTAAAACTTAATAAAATTATGTAATTTTAAGTAGGTGTAGATTTTATCTTATTTTTACATGTCTATTATTATGTTGTAATATGACACTGTTTAGAGCTTGATATTAAAGTGGGCTGCTTGATTGGATCCCAAAACAGTAATAAGTTAGGTTGTCTCTCATTTAAAAGATTTTCAATTATCATTATAGATAAAAATTGAGTAGGGAGGGCAAGACTCAAGTTTCAATACTATGATATTTTATTTATTTTGTAAATTTTATATGACTATTATGTAGGTTATTAATTATGGAGATCCATACATGTATTTATTGATTCTACATATTATTTTTAATGATTTAGAGATTATTTGAAATTTTGAAATTTAATTTATGTAATTAATTATATAACTAAAGACAACAATCATTCATTATGTGATATTTTGGAACTTAGGAATCTCTTTGATGTATAAGAGACTTTCCTTCTCGTCTAATTTTGC